AGCAACTGCTATTCCGGAATATGCATTAGAACCCTTCACTCAAAACTTTAAACCTAGAAAACTTTTTGAGGACTCTCTGACCCAGCTCTTCCTATTTGAGCTTATTGGACCAGAAGATAAAGTGACTCAAAGTCATGAATCTCCACACCATTGTCTCAGGGGATCCTGTGAAGTCCCTGGTTAGCTCTCTACCACCCCTCTTTCGTTTCTGTGGCCGCCTTGCGTATCTCTGGCTTCTAAACAGTGTTGATGTTCACCTGTTCACATACACTGTTTTTTCAGCTTCAATTCACTTTTACTTTTTCTTTCCCCTTTGCCTGGGAATCCTTGATTCACCTTTAAGTATCTGTATTTGTGTATATAAGTCTGTAAACACATACATATAAAGACACAGTCAAGTTTCTCTGCTTTAAACAAGTGCTTTTTCTAAGTGCCAGGTTCTGTATTTCCTGTTACTTGTAATCGACTGGCCAGATCAGAATACTAGGCTGAAAACCTCCAAGGTGAAGACTGCATTTAGATCCAACTGACTACAGACATACAGGATTTGGGGAGAGTCAGGTTTGGTGACTGTTCATGATGAAAACATCCAGGAAATTCAGCTGACTAAGTTTCCATATGAATGAATAGGATAATATGGTTGCTAAGAGCCAGTTACTCTTTTGAAAGTATTTACGGAAATGAGTGTGTCTAGGTCATAAGAACTCATATGCCCCTTGTGGTCCGCATCTGTGAGACCATGTCAGGAGCACTGTGATTCTGATTGTGATATTTTTTTGTGAGGGTCATTGATTTTGTGATATAAAGCATTGAAGTGCTTTATAAAAAGCGATTTATAGTATATTAGAAAGCAGAAGCCATGTTCTGTGAACAGTTGTAGAAACCAATGATATTCAGCCTGAAAAAGTGGGTTTTCTGTAATCAGGTAATTGGAAAATTATAGTACGCAAGAAGAAATAGAGGGCAGTAGGAGAATTTGTAGGGAAACACTGAATTCAACATAAAAAACTTAAGGGCAAGTAGAAGTGTCCAATTATTAAGTAGGCCACCTCTTAAGGTAATGAGCACCTCATATCTAGAAGTGTTCAAGCAGAAGTTGGAGGACTTGATAGATTGTGAGCTCCTGGAGAATAGGCACAAAACTCGACCCTTTTAAATATTTTCTGAGTTCAGATATTGGGAGGAAATTAATTCAGTAAATACCTGTGTACAGGTTAGGGTATAGGTGCTATGTTGTGTGAATGAAATTGTGCTAGATAGCATTGTTCCTCTTAGATTCCACGAAATAAAAGACAAATAAGAATTTTGTTGGCAAAAACATTTTTATTTTTCAAATAAAAAAAACCCAACTTTAACCTAACTGGTATAAATGATGAAATAACCTGCTGTCTCTTTTCTCTCCCCTTCCTTTTTTCTTCCAGTACATTGAAAAGAGGACCAAGAGCAGGGAGCATGGCAGTGCGATGAGAAAGAGACTTTTTAATCCTGCAGAGGAATCTGAAAAATAAATTAAAGACATACCTCGTTTTGTTGCATTTTGTTTATTGTGCTTTGCAGATACCGTGTTCTTTACAAACTGAAGGTTTGTGGCAACCTTGTGCAAGCAAGTCCATTGGTGCCATTTTCCCAGCAGCATTTGTTCATGTTTGTGCCACATTTTGGTAATTCTTGCATTATTTAAACCTTTTCTTTATATTATACTTGTTAAGGCGATCTCTTATTAGTGATCTTTGATGTCACTGTCGTAATTGTTTTGGGGTGCCAGGAACTGTGCCGATATAAAACAGTGATTTTAACTGATAAATGTTTGTGTCTGTTCCACTGACCAGCCTTTCCCCTTCTCTCTCCTTCTTCTCTGGCCGTCCTAATTTCTGAGACATAATAATACCAAAATTAGTCCAGTTAAAAGCCCTTCAATATCCTCTAAGTGTCCGGGTGAAAGGAAGAGTCACACGTCTCTCACTTTAAATCAAAAGCTAGAAATGATTAAACTTAGTGAGGAAAGGCATGCTGAAAGCCAAGATAGGCCAAAAGCTAAGTTTCTTATGCCAAACCATTTGCCAAGTTAATGCAGAGGAAAAGTTCTTGAAGGAAATTAAAAGTGCTGTCCCAGTGAGCACATGGATGTGTGAAGAAAATGAAACAGCCTTATTGCCAATATGGAGAAGCCTTTAATGGGCTAGATAGCCACAGCATTCCCTTGAAACCAGAGTAAGGCCCTAACTTTCTTCAATTCTGTGGAGGCTGAGAGAGGTGAGGAAGCTACTGAAGAGAAGTTGGAAGCTAGCAGAGGTTGGTTCCTGAGAGTTGAGGAAAGAAGCCGTTTCCATAACATTCAAGTGCAAGGTGAAGCAGCAGTGCTGATGGAGAGGCTGCAGCAACATGGAGGCAAGACTTTCCACCAGCAGATTATAACTCACTGAAAGCTCAGTTGATGGTTAGCATTTTTTAGCAATAAAGTGTTCTTAAATTAAGGTGTGTACACTGTTTTTTAGATATGCATGGCACACTGAATAAACTGCAGTGTAAACAATAACTTTCATATGTACTGTGAAACCAAAAGATTGATGTGACTTGCTTTATTGCAGTATTCGCCTTACTATGGTGGTTTGGAACTGAGCCCACAGTATCTCCCAGGGATGCCTGCCTATTGTCACTGGATGCCTTGGCCCAGAGAAGACCTCAAGACTCTTGGTTGACAACTGAAAGAATCATATCTCCTTTGGTCTCTGGAATCCCTTGAATGGAAAGTCACCCATGAGAAAATGAGACATGGAGAAATATGGAAAAACCCTGGATTCTGAACATTTGCTGGGCAGAGCTTTTTTAGTAGTACCCTCTCCTCTACCAACACACCTGACTTCTAACATGTTTCTTCCCTTTGCCTACAACCCGTTAACAGTCAGGTGACTTACCTCTCGCAATAAAAGAACGCTCCTGGAATCAAGGCAAAATGGTCCCAAAAGACTTTCCTTTGTGGTGGTTCTGGAGCTGAAACATTGGAGACACAAGCTAGGGCAAAAAGAGTTTGGGGAAGTCCCAGCTGTGTTCCCTATATGAAAATGTTCAACGTAATTGTTTTTAAAGAGCTGCTTTCTAAAAGTTTAAACATAATGTTTAACATCGATAAAATTGCATCTGGTTAAGATATGAGTCTTTGCTGACTTTGCTTCCCCATGTGGTTGAATGTGCCCCCCCACCCCCCCGGGTGCCAGCTACCTCCTGGGCATTAGCCTTAGGGCAGCATGTCCTCTGCTGGTACAGAGATTTTGTTCCCAGACTCATTTCTAGCAGTCATTCCGCCAGTGCTCTTTCTGCTGGGTGTTTTTGAGACCTGTGACGACAATCTGGAAGTCAGCAGGTGCCAGCCAGGGTCACAGCCGAGACCTTGTCAGATAACATGTCAACTGGCTGTGCTGTGAGCTCCTTCTAGTGAGTTCTGTGTACATACCCGGCCTGAGGCTTGGTGGTGTCAGCGTTCTGTAAGTGATTTCCCCATCGCCGTAGGTGTTGAAGAGGCTGGACATTCATTTAGCAAGGTGGTTACAGAGGATAACAACTGACGAAAGGGTGGAGGAAGAAGCAATTAATTCTGAGGTCTCGTTCAAGATGGAGATTCATGAATATTTATTCAGTCCCTCTCCCCTCTCCCCAAGTGTCAGGCAGTACAGGTACAGAAATGAAAAATTTGGCATTGGGAGCTTGTAGTAAACTGACAGGTGGATATTATAATAGTGTAGTAGTGCCACAATTAGGAAGTTGTTAGAGAAAACATAGTAGGGGCATCCATGCCCAGCCTTCAGGAAGGAGCTATCCCAAGAAGGCTACTTAGTGAAGGGGACCTTTGACAAATGGAGTGAAAAAGGAATATATTTTGGAGAGCTTCAAGTTGAGCATGACTAGAATATGAGAACTATTGACGGCAGAAGCTCAGAAACAGCTCTGAATTCTGTTGGGATTTTTTCTTCAATGCTGTAGGGATCAGTTGGAGATTTTAATACGGTGACAAGGAATTTGTGGAGGGGCCTTAGTTGGAAGGGTGATATGTTTACATTCGTATTTTAGTGAGATTTTTCTGGTTATAGTTGGGAGGTAAATTGGAGGGGAAGAGAGATTATACCCAGAGGTGCCAGTTCCGTTTTTGCCCTAACTTAGGTGACACATGAGCTGAATTCGAGAAGTGGCATGGGGGTGAAGAGAGGTGAAGATCTGAGAGGAATTTGGGCGTGGAATTGGCATCACTGATGCGGTGTGGGGTTAAGGAGAGCCTAGGAGGTCTCAGACATTTGAATGGAGTCTGGTGCTGACGGTGCCCTAGGGCAAGGGCAGGGAGCCCAGGAGGGGTGTGGTGTGAAGGGCGGAGTTTGGGGTGAGTATGGCAGAGCCTGGGTGGAGGCGGCTTTTAGGTTTCTGAGTGTTCAGATCTGGAGCCTGTTAGTCACCTGCTCTAGCACAGAATTGGGAGACAGTAGCATGCGGACAGTAGCTGATGCTCTGTGGGCCGATGTTGATCGTGGAGCAAGAGAGTTGTGTTTTAGAGCAGAATGAAACTTTGGGGTCACTTGATATTTTGAATTATATAAGCACATTTTTTTTAAATGGAGCATTCAAACAATTTAGAAGTTTTACAATAAAAGTCATCTTTCTGTACACCCTAGTGCCACTTGACTCCCTAGAGCTGACAGTTGGATGGGCCTTCTATGTATTCACATCAATATTTCGGGACAGGAGAGGCAGCCCCATATATGGAGAAGGAGTGGGCATAGAGCGAGAGAGCAGACTGTAGAGGATGGTGCCACGGGTGCCTGGGGGTCCTAGAGGAGGGAGTGTCGTGGGATCAGAGTAAGGCCTGAAGGGCCAGTTGGTTTAGTTCCTGTGTCCTCTGTGACCTTAGCCTTTGGCGTGGTAGAGGGGGTTGAACCGAGTATGTAAGCACATTTGAAAAAGTTTGGCTCTGGAGGGAAGGACAGGGTAGGGTCAAGAGAGGGTCTTATAAAGTCAAAAGAAGATGTGAGTGATACTTTAGAATGGGTATATGTTGAAAAGAATGCCAGAAAAGAGGGAGGAATGCGTTTATGGAGTGAAATCTTGTAGGATGCAGAAATGGGCCCATGCTGGCAGTGATAGTTTTTTTTCCTAGAAAACGAATTAGAAACAAAACTTGAAGCACTATAGAAAATGTAAAATATGCCTTTCAGAGAGCCATAAATGCCTGTTTGTGCAGGATGCACTGCTGTTTGCCCTACGAAGAATTAAGAACACAGGCTCTATTTCTGCTCTCTGAGGACCAAAATCTTAGACACACAACGACATGGTCACCAATATCCAGTGATATGCAGGTAAATGTTTAGTAACTGGCTCTCAGAAGAAATAAGTAAATAAATAAAACACACTGCTTTGTAGCATTTGCCATTTTCTGTGCTATAAATACACCTGCCGTGGCAGATTTCAAGCTCCCAAGCTGACATTGCTGAAGGTGGAGTTGGGAAGAAGTGCACACAGTAGACTCTCCCAAGCTGGTACCAGCTCACTTCAGCCCCCCAAAGCACACTGCTGCTTTGCAGAAGGAACCCCAAGGAATCAGTCTTGGTGTTGAGCTGTATGAGTTCTTTATATTTTGGATATTAGCTCCTCAATATCATTTGCAAATAGAGTCTCCCATGGAGTAGGTTGCCTTTTCTTTTGTTGATGGTTTGTTCGCTGTTTGGATGTAGCCCCACTTGTTTTTGCTTCTCTCTCCCTTGCCTAAGGACGTGTATCCAGAAAAAAATTACTCATGCTGATGTCCATGAAATTCTTGCCTGAGTTTTCCTCCCAGAGTTTTATGGTTTCTTATCTTACATTTAGGTCTTTAGCCCATTTAGAGTTTACTTGTGTGTGTGGTGTCAGACAGTGATCTAGATTCACTCTCGTACATGTAGCTGTCCAGTTTTCCCAACACAATTATTGAAGAGGCTGTCTTTTTCCCCTTGTATATTCATAGCTCCTTTGTCCTATATAATCAACTATATATGCGTGGGTTTATTTCTGGGCTCTCTCTTCTGTTCTATTGGTCTGTGTGTCTGTTCTTGTGCTAGTGCCATACAGTTTTAATCACTGAGCTCTGTAGTATAGCTTGAAATCAGGGAGCTGATTGGTGCAGCCACTGTGGCAAACAATACGGAGGTTCCTCAAAAAACTAAAAATAGAAATACCATATGACCCAGCAATGCCACTTCTGAGAATTTACCCAAAGAAAGCAAAATCACTAATTTGAAAAGATACATACATACCTGTGTTTATTGCAGCATTATTTACAATAGCCAAGGTATGGAAGCAACCCAAGCGCCGATCAGTAGATGAATGGAGAAATAAGGTGTGCATATGTATACAAGGAATATCACTCAGCCATAAAAAAAGGAAATCTTGTCATTTGCAACAACATGGGTGGACCTAGAGGGTATAAATCAGAGAAAGATAAATACCATGAGATTTCACTTATATGTGGAATCATAAAAACAAAAAAGAAATGGGCCCATACATACTGATACCAGAC